TAAATATGATACGTTGCGAAGCACCCGGGCCTTGGCCACGCTGAGACGATGACGGCTGCGCGCTTCCAGCACGCACTTCTGAAATGTCTTTAGCCTTGAGTGCGAGTCGCGAGCTGGCTGATTTGCCAACCGACAGGCAATCCACCTCCAACTCTGAAGGCAGAAAATGCAATCTGCCCGAAAACAGAACCCCTGGCACCGTTGGGCGCAAATCTGCTGTTGAGCCACGTTGGATTCTCATGGAGTCTCAACATGGCAGGTGCCAACCGATTCACATTCTTGGGTGATGGCTACTTTTAGATTCGATGATGTGATGGGCTGTCATTCGCCTTGCCACTGCTGCTCTTTCCTTGAGGAGCTGGCTTTTCCTTGAGGAGCTCAGGGTCCTCATCGCTCATTCCTGCCCAACTGGTTTTTGGCTAAGGATTCAGGTAGCGAACCTCTCCCGAGAGCTAAACAACAAGACGCGCAAACCACTCACGATCGTGAAGACTCGGCCCCCCACTGCCCACTTCTTAGCCTCCCCAAAGCGACTCGGCCGAATTGAACGTCTCACGAACGTCTCACTTCTTGGCGCCTGCGACGCTCAGCGTCTCGGCGGCTATCGCCAGGCTCTGGCGATGGCGCTTGGTAGTGCTTGCTACCGCTTGCTGCACCTTCTCCTGGCTAGCCAAACATTCTGAATCCGATTCATCTAGTGATGTTAGCTCAGTCACGATATATGTATCAAGCAGAACCAATATTTCACCTTCTCGTGCATCTAGTTTCTAGCAACATATCTCTGACTTGATGTCAAGGACTTTTCTTCGTATGTCCATGAATCGCTGTTTTCCCCCAACAGCTCAAAGCTATGGGGTCTTTGCCCAAGCAGGCCAAGGATCTGTTTCAATCCTTGCTGGGCGAGCAGGGGGTAATCCTTTTTGGGGTAGTATGAAATCCATGTATGCCAATTTAAATGTCAGGGTCTGCAAGTGGCTGAGGCTGACAGGAATGGAGCATGGATCCTTGGCATTTCAGGAGGGGCTGCCTTCGGCCTGTCTACTTAGATATTGAAGGACACTGAAGGGCTGAGCTAGAGGGCTGAGGGGTTCTAACTTTAAAGATGTATGGGCGGAGAACGAGAATCTGCAAAGTTTGCAGCCCAGGCCCAGGTGAGCTACAACCAATAGCAGCGCTAGCATTTGCAGCAGGTGCAAAGTTGACAGCCTAGCTGTGTCGCGGGGGACAAAGCCATAATGGAGCAGGCGCTGCGGCGCAACGCCTAGGGTGCAAAGTTTGCAGCCCGGTTCCAGAAAAAGGCAGACCCTTGGCAGCCAGATTCTCACAGTTTTATTTCTTCGGCTGGAGCTTGCAAATATCATGGATAGTCGCCGCCAAATGGCGTGGACAACTCGATCTTGAAACTGCGACGTGTCTAACTATACGCTCTTTACTTACATGCTGGTCATGCTGGGAATGTCGAGACTAGCGTGACATCTACTCTTAGTCAACGGAAACACGTTTTGTTGATTGAAGCGGCGGGGATGCTGGAGGTGTCGATCAATGTAGCCTACAAAGGCCGTCAACAGCACGACAAGCCAAGCCGAGCTCATACAACTCCATAATTCATTTTGCAAAGTGTGTCCGTGATTCATCCGTCGACCATATGTCCGCACCAATTTAAAGCTTCCCGAGGGTTCTAGGGGGTTCTGGGGATACCACATGAGCGTGTAGCCTTTTGTTTTAGCCACCGGTGATGCCAGTGGTCTTGACGAGTTTCGTTGCTGCGCTTATAGCTTGCGTGGTGGTAGTTAGCAAAACTACGCGCGAGTCTGCCTCCCGCAGCTTGCCACACGCTTGAACCGTGATTGGACCGTGAGTCGCCGCAAGCTTCGAACACTTGTGTCATTCTGCCTGGGAGTTGTTTGACTTTCGCATCAGGCAGGTGAATCCCCTTTGAGCATGCTGCAGGAATGCAAACATATTGAACGGACTTTCTCACATAGACACATATTAGATATTATACCGCCTGTCGCTTTGTACCTACTGCCAATGTCTATCTATTCCTTCCTTCCTGGTCCGAACAACGCAAACGCTGTAGGGAATGCCGATCTCCAAAAAAAGCTGTCATTCCAAGACAAACAGCCCAAAACAGTCTGAGGTGCCCAATCTACGAGCGCCATCCGTCTCCTCCTTGCGATCAGACAGCTTGCGAGCAGCACACGCAATGCTCCGCCTTGCCGGCTGGAAGGGTCAGTTTTGTTGCAAGCCAGCGCTGCATGTTTGTTGTTTGGCTCATCAGCGCCGGGTGCTACAATGGCTTGCATCCAGGCAATTGTGGCTGGGAGCAGAATCTGTCCCATCGAAGCCTTGTTATAAACGTATTCTAACATAGGCATTCCGTGTCTGCCACGCAGTAAGCATCGTGCTTGTCGTTCTACAAGGCCTGCCGCTTGACAATCACATCAACAAGTTGCTTCTCACCTCTACATCTAAACAAAGCAAACAACACAGTTTGGGCGATCCATTGACACATGCAAGTGGGGAACAACCATTTCGTGGTGCTTCACCCCGCTCTACGAAGAATTCTTACTTGCAACTTCGGGAATCAAGCTTGGCTGCAGTACACCACCAGCAACACCGACAGCACCAGCACCAAAACCACCACCACATGCTTCCTGGAATCCCCCGTGGCCGCACCTCGTCTTGGCCGTGTTGCTCCGTAGGGCATCACTCAGGGCACTGCGGCCACTCATGGAACTGCGACGTCGTGCTCCCTGGCAATGGCTAGAATCGGCCCAATAGACATGCACAATGAAGCAGCATGGGCTTTCAATTCCCCAAACTGTACAAAACCGGGAGGGTTGGAGAGAGAGAGAGAGAGTGAGAGAGAGAGAGAGGGAGAGAGAGAGAGAGAGACTCACCAAGACGTGTCTCACATGCTTCATATGTCTCATCTTCCATTTATACAGTACCATTGTCCCGGCCTGCAATTTGTCCGCCAACTCCTTCGGGTCTGGCGGGCTGGGTGCCTCAAAGTTTGCACCGCCGCAGGGTGGCGTCATGCGGCCCTCCAGGGCTCCTTGGCAGTCTGGGCCTCGGAGTATGGCAAGCTGCGGATTGCAGCGACGAGCAAGCTTTGAGTGTCAACTAATGTCTGGTTTTGTGCAGCGGCTTGACATAGAATTCATAGGACACGCAAACATAGAGCTTACAAAATCCCAAGTCGGACCTTGTGCCCTGTGATCCGCGTTGTGTCTTCAAGCAACCACCGCAAGCCACTCGCAATGGAAAAGCTGCGTCCCAAAACAAGGAATCCGCGAGATGGGATTTCGCATAGATCCGGGCTTCCAGCGGGCTGCTTCCTTGTCCGGGTCTTCCTGTTCCGCTGCCATGCGTGTCAGCATGGCCTCAGCCATGCCCACCTGCAGCGTCTCCTGGGACAGCACCAAGCCAACCACGCACACAAAGAATTGCGCCCATAGTCCAACAAGGTTATAGGTAAACACAAACGACACAGGGACGCACAAGCACACACACACAAACAGAGACACACGCTCTGAATGTAGTGATGACTATTTGATGTACTGACTGCATCTGAGACTTGGCAGTATTGCTTACTGATGTGGTGCTTCGGGAAGGCTCCACAACGGGCACGTTGCACAACATCGCCTTTGCTATTGGATGGCAAGATGCGCTTGCCCTTGGCTGGAGCTCTTTTCAGTCTGGCGGCCACCAGCTGCTCTTCGTTGATCTCGCCTTTCTTCAGGAGCTCGGCCACCGTCGCCGGGTCGAAGTTGTAGGCATCCTTGCCGGCTTGCCACGACACCAACACTGTGCCTGAATGCAAAACGATGCAAAGCGATGCAAAGCGTGCCAGCAATGTGTCCTCCAAGTCATAGTCGTCATCCAAGCCAGACATGTCATCATCCGAGTCGTCCATGGTGTAGCAAACTGCACCAGCCTTCTCTTTGCCCTCATCGTTGCTGCTGGATTCCTGCATTCTCTTTATTTTCGAGACTTTCTGTGCCCCAATCACAAAATCACACTGCCAATTCGTCGGAGCTGTCCTCGTCTTCCTGAATGGCAAAGATGTCCTTTTTGAGGCCTAGAACCCGCCCGTCATGCGCGTCGGTGTCCTCCACAGGACCTGGCCGAGCCTCCCCACCCAGCCTGCAATGCTGCCATGGGATTTAGCAGAACGTACCCTGTTTGAAACTCTAGAACCGATGGCCATCAATTGCCAGTTGGCAAATGCGGGTGTCCACCAAAGGGTTTTGCAATGCAAGTTCATACCCACATCCGTGCGCCACGGAAATACGCTGACAAGGCCATGCTTGGCTGACTCCACAAGCCCGGAACACTTGACCACAAGGGAATGTGTCAAGCTCCAAATCGGTGTGTGTGTGTAATACAAGGGGGCCGGAAATTGTGGGGTTTTCCTTTAAAAACCGCGGTACCCTCAAAAAAGACACACCCGAATGATTGGCTGCGGGTTCCCCGGTGACTGGTGGAACGCAAGGCTCTCAGAATTGTGGCATGAGATGGCCTGCGAGACACTTCTCCAGAAAGATCTTGTAGTCTTTTCCATTGCCGGAAGCCTAGCACTGGCTCTGGCACTCCGCACTTAGTAAGACTTGGTACAATCTTCACAACCCCAAGCGCTAAGCCCGCCTTCTTTGGGCTGGACATGGCTCTCTGAGTGGGCCGGGAACGAGAGCCAGGAAGCTGCTGGCGGCTGCGGCAAGGGAGAATAAAGCAGCAAGTAAGGCAGCTGACGCCACAGTGCAGCCCAGCAGTCCACGGTGCCCACAAGTTCGCCCATTGCCTTTTCAAACGCAAATAATTGTTGGGCAGCGCATGTAGAACATACGTAAACTCAGCCAAGCCATAAGTTTGTGAATACGTATGAAGGTGGGCCCATCTTTTGAAGGCATTACGACCAACATGTATGTCATGTAAGTGCGATAATACCCACAGGTACTCACTTGCAACAATTCTGTCACGACTTGGCCGCCCGCTCGCTGCGCAGCGTCGTCGAGGTGCGGAAGCCTCAGTGATTTAGTGACGCGAGACTCTTGCTAGATTTACAAATTGAAGGAACACCGGAAAACAGGCACTAACGATCCCAAATAACACATTAACCTGCGGCATGCAAATGCCAAACTAGTTGTCATGCAGAGGCATTCCAACGCAAGGTTTGCTTGCCACAAAAGAAGTCAACATGAAACCATTATCTTCTCAGCTCTGTCCACTCCTGGAAAAGCGAAACATAAGCCTAATAATATTTTCACCAGGCCTTGGGGCTTGATAAGGCTAAGGAACCTCAATATTAATGCATAGTGATTGTAGCCACCAAGCACCCAGTGTGTGCCGGCCACCAAAACAAATCAATATAAAGATTCTCATAAACTTCAAGATGCACATGCAACATATCCAGTCAATTTTTCTGAACGACAGAAACACAATCTAATTTGACAATGACATGGGTGGACACCAGTCTCGACCTAGGCGAATGCATGCTCAACGCTGAACCGCCGGTGAGGGTTCCATTCCCACTCGTCGCAAGCTGTGGTGCCCGGGCTCACAGGGCTCTCGAATATCCACCGCTGTGAGGACGTGTTTGTGGCTCAGGGACAAAAGAACCGAGGTCAAAGACCTGGGCACGTGGGGCATATGGGAACTGCGCAAAATTACTGCTACTGAAAACTGCTCTTCCGCCGGCCCACGAGAATGCTCACGCGCACAAAGGTGTTCCTTCTTGCTGCGGTCACGGCAGTGCAAGAATGCTGTAGCACTGCTGTGCAAAAAAGTTGCTTTCTGCGATAATTTGCAATTGTGTGCAACACTCTTCACACACGTCCAAACTCAAACATTCATCAAACATCCGTCTTTGTCTGCAAGTTTTGAAACAACACCTCAAACCGCCTTTTTGTTGCATCTCTTTGTTTGGATTACCATGGAATAGGAACTGTTATTACCTATTGAAGAAATCATGGTAATTGCATTGTGCAATATACCACTTGCTGAATCTAAAGATGTGCCCGAAAATGAGGGCAGCACTGGTTGTATTGCAAAGAATATGCTCCAACCAATTGCCTCTTGTTGTCTTTTTGACTTGCCACTATATACTCTAGATCCAAGAGCAGGGCGAGGAACTTCCGTGCCGTGCTTTAGAATGGAGTACCAATGAACCAGTACTGTGTTGGATTCCACTAGTTTGCTGGTATCAACATGTATATACTATTCTGTGTCCAGAACTGGCATGAACGTTGTCCAGTACTGGAAAATGCGTACCACATGACGTATTGCCACACTATGCGTAGATGTCGGAGCAAGAGGTTCGGAACTTGAGTCTTAAAGGCTTGTTTTCAAGTTTAAACAAACCTTGCCCAAGGATGGCTAAGTGTTACCAACCCTCCCTCCCTTAGACACGAACAAACCGCCTTAACAAAGGTTTGTGTCCAAGGAACAACTAACTCCTCCGAGCTGCATTGCACGTTTCTTTCTGAGGTATTCGTTCAACAATATCGCAAAGTATTGGAGTTCAAGATCAACACTATAGCGTGCCAAACATAGAGCAAGTATCAGAAGTAGCCCATGGTCTCGCGCCCAAAGAAGTCCTACAGGCAATAGCAAGCCCCACGAAGCATGAAGCGCAGCTGGCACAAATCAAGCTTGAAAGGGGAACCCCAATATTTGGATCCCTTTTGGGAGGGAGGTGTCATCAATGCTGATTTTGTGCGATGCTGGCTGATAATTACTCTGCTTTTGTATTCACCGCTAGGAATTCACAACACTGTTGCCGACTATAAATATAGGCTTCCCACACAACACTCAAACACAGTTTTCCTCCCCACTAGTTCAGCCACGCAACTCTTTGGCCAGCCACCGAAAAAAAAAAAATGAAGTATCCGATTGCAACCGATTTGAGAAACCAAGTGGGATGGACTGGACTCTTCGTGTGGACAGCCGAGAGAGGAACTCCAGGAGCTGATGCGAGGCGTCGACTTTGAAGCTATGACACTTGTTGACCAAAATTAATTGCTTGATCTTAGATTCATGCAACTTGTGCTCGCTTGGCAAATCCGACTTCAACAATTCGACACTGGGGAAGCCCTGGCCCCAATTCTTTGAAAGTCGCCGTACGACTAAGACCACATCACTGCGCATCAAAGCTTTGGGGCAGAGGCTTGCCACAGCACAAATCCACCGCATGGCTGTCCCTTGGGAGTTCGAAGGCCTCGATGGTGGCAAGGGACTCCGACAGCTCCTGGAAACGGAATCCATCCGGATAGTGAGGGACGGAAGGGATGGCGCCCCTTTGGTGGGGAGTCTCTTTTCATAGCGGGATGTCTTTGGTTAATGATCCGGTAGATTGATCCGAAGCTGACATTTGTTGGCCAGCGGGTCCAGTGGCTGTTCGTGTAAATTGGCTCATCTGATTGGCGAGAGAAGGGTGCTGGTGCTCATTGTCTCAGCTCCCCCCGACCCACATTGTTAGCATGGCAACTCATTCCCCGTCATTCCCCTCATTCCTCAACAAGCCTCGCAGCCCGCTCCTTGTGAAATTTCTTTGTATGCGAATGCCAGGTGTGGTATTCGGGCCTGCACGCCGCACAGCTAAGGGCACCATGATGCCACAAACAAACATATCAATGCTTCATCGTGAAATGGTTCCAAGCGGCATCTCTGCTTCCTACTCAAACATCCTGTGTCCA